TACATACATACATACATACATACATACATACATACATACATACATACATACATACATACATACATACATACATACATACATACATACATACATCTTCTTAACTCACTTTTTCTCACCAGTTCAGCAGGCAGCTGGTGCTTTTCTCCAGCAGTCTGCGTGTGAGAGGTGTGGTCACAAGTCCATCGCAGCGACACGAGACAAATGAGAATTACCAGTTAACCTTGCATGTATGTTTTGGGGCTGATGGAGGAAACCAGAGTACCAGGAGTACCTGGAAAAACCCACTAGAGCAGGGGTCTGCAACCTACGGCTCTGGGGCCACATGTGGCTCTTTGGTCCCTCTACAGTGGCTCTTTGAAAATGTGACCAAACATAACAGAATGATTTTTTTTGTTTGTTTTTATACCCACAACAGAAATCAATTTGTAAGCAAATATGTGATCAATACTACTAAAGCAAAAAGTAAAACATGTTAGCTTATGCTAGCCTGTTGTTTACTTAAATAATCCAACTTTTGTCTTTCTCTCAAATCCATCAGAATTACCTTTAAAAATATTAAAAACTACATAATAAGAATTAGAAAAAATAAGCCTGAATAATTCAGTTGTACTATTTTTTATGAAATTAGGTATATACCATATAAAGTATTTTTCTTGTTTACATGAATAGTCTTTTTATTTGTCCTGATGGGAAAAAATAATAATAAAAATAAAATTTGCAATTTATTTTTTAGTTTTATAATGTCACTTCCACTGGCCGTAAAAGTTCCCAAAAATGCCTTGAAAAGGCCCACGGACCACCAGTTGATAATCAGCGTTGTAGCTTATTTTGCGGCTCTGGACACATTTTATTACTGCGTCAGTAGCAGAAATGGCTCTTTTGATTGTAAAGGTTGCAGACCTCTGCACTAGAGCATGAGGAGAACAAGCAAACTCCAACCAGAAAGGCTGCAGGCCTGAAGGTGATCCTGAACCTAACCAGTGCACCACCGTCCCAAGACGAGTGAAATGTCTTTGTTGATAATAAATGGATCATTATTTTTTGCAAACTGGATTAAATATGTATTCTGCATGACAGCAATTTGGATCAGATATAAAGCTAGCCAGAAACCAAAAATAAAAACCTACTGGACATGATTGCTGTTTTCACTTTAACATGACACCCGGTCTTCTGCTGGTTGGTCTGCAGAGGATTGAAGCCTGGTTTCTGTTTGGTGGATGTTTCCCCCCTGCAACATTTTCCTTCCCCGGCTGGGGATTTCAGTGCCGACCCGAGGAAACTGAAGTCTGGCAGGTTACATAAAAAGGTTTGCTGACTATACTCTCTCAGAAACAGAAGAATGAGCATGGCTGCGGTTCGTGAAGCTGACATTACAGACCAAACTGTTGCTGTTCACTTTATTTCGTTCTGAATCAGTGCACACATGCAAGCATGAAGGGAATTTTAGATGGGAGGGAAAACAAGTGAGACCCAGTGAGGAAACAGAAATTTAGCACCCCCTGCTGTTAGTATTGAAGCTCTGAGCTTCTCGCTTCACGGTTTAATAGTGCTATGGACATTTTATCAAAGTATGCGTTAGAGGGGCAGCCTTAAGAATACACATATAAGGAGGTTATTTATATTGTTTATTAGTGAAATGGGCAACACTGAGTCTCCTGCCACTAGAAGACAATGAAACATTAACACAAGTATTGTTTCAATTATATCATCAACTAACTGAATGTACCTAATTAGTGAGTCATTATTCAATAACCTTAAAATACAAGGAGTTCTGAGTAAAGAACAGTGCTGCCATTTAAGTAAAAAAAAAAAGGCAAATTTGGTGTATTTTTTTCTTATTTTTTAATTGTAAATAAAGCTCTTGGGGATTAATTGGACTTTTAAATAATCCAATTAAAAATGAAAAGGGAACCAAAAATGTTTATTTTATTTAGGCACAGTGACTCAGTTGGTAGAGATGTTGCCTCTCAGGTTGCCAGATCCCACCTTTCTGAGTAGGGTTTGCATGTTCTCTCTGTGCATGCGTGGGTTTTCTCCGGGCACTCCAATTTCCTCCCACAGAACAAAAACATGACTGATTAGCAATTAAATTGTCCCCAGGTGTAAAAATTGCGACCTGTCCCAGTGTGTACCCCGCTCCTTGCAGGGTGAGCTGGAAATGGGCACCAGTGACCCCCGTGAAGGATGGTTGAATTTTGCCACTCACATTTTCCTAATTGTGCTCTTATACTGAAAGAACTAACAACATCCGGGAAGACGGTCTTGATTTCAATGTAAAAGCTCAAAGGTATAATCTAAGTTGCTCTTGTGGTACTATAATCGTTTTATGTAAAACTAGAATAATTTTAAATGTTTATTTTAATTCTAACTTAGTGTTATCGGTGCATATTAGCACATAAATTTGCAATATTCAGGGTTGCTATGTTTTCTACTGAAAGTTACTCACCGGAAGTAGGTCAAAGTTATAATTTGTTCGCTTGTTCCCAAAATACCGGTAGTTAAAAATTCAGGTACACCGTAACATGGTTGTTGTTAAAGGTATATGACGGTCCTTGTAAGCCGTAGATGTCACACACAAGTGTTACCGGTTCGTCCGGCTCTTCCCGTCCTTGAGGTACCGTCATTTTAACGTGTCATTATGTGGGTTTTCGGTTACGGCTCCCTGATCTGGAAAGTGGATTTTCCGTACGAGGAGAAGAGAGTTGGTTACATAAAAGGCTTCAGCCGTCGGTTCTGGCAGGGCAGCACCGACCACCGGGGGGTACCGGGAAAGGTGAGTGCACCTTGTCGGTGTGGTGGAGGCTAAATAGAAAACAAACAAAAAAAATACGATTTTCTACGTTGATAAAATAAATATTGTTTTTCTCAACAATCGTCTCCGTGTCAGAACAAGTTAAAGTCAACTGTCTACAAAAGTTATTAACTGTCACAGCTAGTTATGTAAAAGTACGTCACGTCCTGACTGTTTCTCTGATCTCATTACAGCTCCACCTCCTGCTTATTCATGATGACTGGGCACCAGTTAGTCCCAGTGCTCCAGCAAAAAGTAGCTAAACAATAAAACTAACAGAAGACAGGCTAAAAGATAAAGAATAGCAAGTAGATGAAGGTTTAAGCTAACTAAACTGAAGCCAAAAGCTCAGACTATAGCTAAAATAAGCAGAATGTAGCTCAAAGACTAGCAGAGTAGTAGCTAAAAGCTAAAAATTTGCAGAATTGTAGCTACACTTAAATTTCAAGGAATGTAGCTAAAGGCTAAAATTAATGTAGCTAAATGATAAACTGGTAGAACTGAAGCTAAAAGCTGCAGTTAGCTCAATAGTACCTAAAAGCTACTCTATTGGCTGTCAGCCAAGAGTTAAATTAGCTGAAGAGTAGCTTAAAGCTAGAACTAGCAGAACAGTAGCTAAAAACAAAAACTATGCTGAAGATTTCAAAAAGCTCAAAGGTTTTCAACGCTCTTAAGATATTTCCACATATTATTGAACAAATTTGTTAATAAAGTTTAATAATTCAAAGAAAGACCCCCTAGCTTTAATGTTCTGAACGAGCTGTTTTGATGTATGATGTTTTGATACCGGACCTAGCATTCACACAGCTAACAGGATATCAAACGAAACTAAATAGTAAGTGAAAGTAGACAAGTATAAAATATGCGCACTGTTTGTGTACGCATACATCCTTTAGTAAAGGTGCGGAAGAAAACTTTAAAAAGTTTGGTCTAACAGAGAAAAGCTGAAGTGAAATCTGTGCTGATTATTTGTTGAAAGATCTTTTATCGTCTTTGTTTTTGTTTCTTTTAGCCCGGCCGGGTCGTCACTCTAACAGAGGACCCTGAGGTGAGTTATAAACACTCAGTTGATCCAAAGAGTGAACCAAATAATGCTGAATTCAGTAAAACAGTTGGACTTTTCCCTCATTWTAACAAGAGATCATTGTTAAGAGTAAAATATCTTGACGTCCCGTGTAAAGATCATCGTGTTGGCCTCTTTCAGAAAACATTTCCCTTTGACTCTTCGTCTTCAGGGGTGCGTTTGGGGCGTTGCCTATAAGCTGCCAGCGGGCCGGGAGCAGGAAGTGAAAGACTACCTCGACTACCGTGAAAAAGGTGGCTATCAGGTCATCACGGTGACCTTCTACCCCCGTCAGGAGTTCAGCCACTCGCCGAGCTCGACTCTGCTCTACATCGGCTCTCGGGGCAATCCAGACTACCTCGGCCCCGCTCCCCTGGAAGATATAGCCAACCAGATCCTGAGCTCCACCGGCCCGAGCGGGAAGAACACGGAGTACCTGTTTCAGCTGGCCGACGCTGTGAGGGCTATCATGCCCGAGGACCCGGACAAACATCTTTTTTCCCTTGAAACTTTAGTGAGAGAAAGGCTTCAAAGCAAAGAAAAACAAACAATGGGAATACATTAACTTATTATGAAATCAAACTTGATCAGGTATTTAATAAAAGGAACCCTAACTGGTTGAAACATTAGACATCATTTGATAGACTTTCACTTCAACTAACAAAGACTGTAAAAATGCTGTAGGCTGTTTAGATTTTATAAAAACGTAAAAAAATATAAAAATTTATTTAAATTTTTACTTCGCAAAGCATACTGTGCAAAGGGTGACTTTTACTAGGTTCTCTGCTTGTGCAAGCCTTTTTTTAAAGATTAATCTTGGATAATATCAGATGATCAGCCCATTTTTAAATGAAACCAGAGAGCGTTGACAGAGAGGAGAATGTAGAAATGACTCAGCTTGAAAATGAACGTATGGATGGAGGACAAAAGAGCTACTTCATGGAAGGAGAACCTCTGTTTAGCCTGTTAGCTTTCGCATTAGCGCCCAAATATTTATATATGCATAGGGCAATATAGTGTAGTGAAC